TATTAATTTTAATATTCCGCTTATAGGAAATCATAAGTTTGACTTATAAGTTTGATTGCACTTTTAGAGGCTGCGACCAAAAATTTGTCAGTTGTGTTGTCATTTTTTTTATGTACAATGTCCTACATATATTTTGATAAAAGCAGTTCCAGTATATCTAGAAATATTATAATATTTCAGACTAATTTCCTGGAAACTTCACCAACACTAGTCAAATTTCCTATGCATTCTTCATTACATAGTATAAAACGAAGTCGCTATCGCTGTCTGTCCATATGTACGCTTAAATCTTTAAAACTACGTAACGGATTTTGAAGCGGTCTTTTAATAGATAGAGTGATTCAAGAGGAAGGTTTATATACCTGTATAATACATCTACACCCGTGTGAAGCCGGGGTGACCAACTAGCTTTATATAAACCTACTTATAAATCTGCCGAATGTCACGTTGAACCAATGACTATGATGATTAAAATTAACTTTATATGTCATAACATTAGTTTTTCAATAGGTGTATATGTATTGTATTTGACATACACCTTAAAAGTTTCGTGTACAAACTAAATATTGTGCAATACAATACAATGAGTCATACATGCGTTTGACCAGCTGTCGACTGACTGCGTGGACACCAGGGTTGCCAATCTAAGAAACATTTAGTCTCGTGTAAACATGTCAAAGATCTCGTATTTATTCAATATGGATTTTTAATCCTGTAGATTATTGTAATTGATGGCCTGTTAAATGGATGATGAGGCTAGCGGTTTAGCATGCCGCCTCACTTGGTCGTGGGTTCGATTCCTCGCACGGTACAAACATTTGTATTTATGAGGTCATCGTTTGTATTGGTCTGGGTGTTTTGTATGTTATATTATGTATGTGTTTACAAAAGATATATATCTATGTATTTATATCAGCTGTTTGGTACCCATAACACAAGCTTTGTTTAATTTGGTACTAGATGGCGCTATCCGAATTGTACTGGACAATTCGGATAGCGGTCATCTAGTACCAAGTATTAGTTGGTAATTCTAGTTGGTATTGGTTGGTTGGGTGGATTGGTCTAGTTGGTAGTTGTTATTATAATTATTTTAATTGTTTACCATAGGTCAAAATCTCGTACAAAGATGAAATTGTTCTCGTACTGAAGACCAAATATTTTGTACAGTTGACAACCCTGATGAACACCGACGCAGCCTCTTACCAAATAGAAACGAACATATTCGGATTATAAGGAAAATAGCCATTAGCTACCTGAGAAGGAGGGCAAAGGTATTAGGTATAACATAATGTTAACAGGTATTATGTTATATAGAACGATTATATTATGGACTTGATTTGAAGGTAGACATATCTATACATCTATACATATAAATAAACTTGGAGTGTCTGTTTTTAATATTGAAATAAAAGTTTTTTACTACATGCATATGAATATATATAAGGTATATATACCAAAATGACATTTTTTATAATTTTTGTCTGTCTGTCTGTCGGTCTGTTTGTTTCGGCTATTCTCTGAAATGGCTGGACCGATCTTGACGGGACTTATTTTGGTAGGTAGCTAATGTAATAAGGAGTAACTTAGGCTACTTTTATTTTAGAAAAATAAAGTTAAATTCCACGCAGACGAAGTCGCGGGAACAGCTAGTTTAATATAAAGTTGGAGAGCAAGTATAGTGGATCTGTAATTTTATTGAAATGAATATATTACTTGCTAGTAATTGAGCTTTGTTTTGTTGTAATCACTTATAAAATGTCTTAAGTATTTTTTGTGTTTTTTATTACTAATATAAATAATATTTTAATACCACGAGTAAAATTAGTAAACTACGTAAAGTTACGAGTACAAAAAGGACATAATATGTATTTTTTATTATTAGAATTATTATATATATATATTAATCTAATTATAAATTAAATATATGTATAATTATAACGAACATTCCATATTTGAACTCACGACCATTTGCAATTGGTACTAAACCACACAGGCGTAATTACCAATACCAAAAAAGAATTACTTACCTTTATGAAACATAGAAAAAATAAGGATCTACTTAATTAAGAAACTTTTTTTTCATGCATATCGCTAGCGTCGGACGCCATTTTGGATCTATGGTAGGAGTGTAAAAAACGTAAACAACGCTTCACCTGCGCGCGCCGAGATTGGCAGGTGGCGTGCGCGCGCATCTGCGCACGCTAGGGTTGTCACATTCGCATATGCGGCCTATGCATATACATAGAAGGAAAGGGCAAATTCCGTTTTTAATGAGTTCATTGGCAATTGAATGCTAGAAACTGTATTTAAGAAATAAAAGTACTTTTAAATTTCCGTTCGTGGTTCTTCCTTTACAAAAAGAAATAATAATGATTTTATTAATTATTGTTATTAATAATAAGTATTAATCAGTATGGTATTAGAGGAATATATTTAGCAAAATATTCTTTTTGTAACAATAAAATTAACTTTTTGAAAATATCATAGACAAATATATGCGAATACTCTTAACTTTTTTTAATAATACAATAGTAGGATAATAAAAATAAAACAAAGACTATGGATATATGAAGCATAAATAACAACATACACAGAATAGTAAATACAATTAATTATAACGAAAACAAACAAATTATAAATGAAATAAACAAAGAGCAATTAGTTTATTTTGTGCAACGTGCACAAATTGCAACAAAAACATTATCGAGATTGTTTACCAAATTACGCCAAGTATAACAAACAAAGATTATTACAAATATTTTCATTATATATCATAAATAACATAACAACTAATTAACGCCAAAATTTCAAACAAAAATTTCGTTCGGACTATAAATGTTATAATTCGCTTTTAAGGCCACAATTTATTGTCATAAAGAATTAAAAAAATATACTTAGGACCGATCAAAATCGTGATTAGTGGCAACCCTAGCACCACCACACTGCAGACACTTTTACGTATGTTCTTTAACCCTTGCACATGGCGGGAAAAAAAACAAAACGATATACGACGCTACTTTGGGTTACCGGCGAAGGTTGTTCCACAATTGGTTTCTTGCAATACTTTATGTTTAAATGCATTATAATAGTAATAATATGAAGAAAAGTCTGTAAGTTGGCCGTGTGACATGATGAAGGCCTCGATGGTCTAGCCGTTTAGCACACCGCTTTACTACCGTCTGTCTGCTTGTTCCCGCTAATCTTTGAAATGACTGGGCCGATATTGACGGGATTTTTATAGGCAGGTAGCTAATGTAATAAGGAGTAACTTAGGCTACTTTTATTTTAGAAAAATAAAGTTAAATTCCACAATTTAATTCGGACGAAGTCGCGAGTACAGCTAGTTATATATATATATATATATATATATATAACCTATTTATAGTAATAATAATAATCATCTTATTATTAACAATTAATTAATTTAATTTATTAATTAATGATTAAATTAATTTAATTTATTACTTAATTGCTGCCTACAATAAAATTAAGAGGTATTATTTAGAGAACGGTCCACAACTTAGAGGGGGCAGTGAGTCCACCCTCTCTGCTATTCTGTCATAGTCTTTATTATTAAATTATTACAATACAAAATCAACAACGACGAAAGCATTTAAGTTCTAAACTGCTAACAAACTAAGTAAATATATTTGGCCTAAATTATCTTTACTAATATCACAGATAATATAATATTACATACTAATATTATAAATGCGAAAGTAACTCTGTCTGTCTGTCTGTCTGTCTCGCTTTCACGCCAAACCACTGAATAGATTAAATTATACATACAGTCTAGACCCTAAGAAAGGACATAGGCTACTTTTTGCGAAAAAGGGTTCTAAGGGGTTGAAAGTGAAGATGAAAGGTTGTATGGCGGTATCGTCATATTTAAAGATAGAATCTTAAAATTATTTTTTAGGTTGATTGAATTTAAATAAATATGACACTCAAAGTTTGTAAACATGTTACCCATAAGGAGGTAAAAAATGGGGGATGAAAGTTTGTTTGGAAATTCTTAGCTAGAACGATGAACAATCAAAATATTTAATAATCTAACCCAAAATGATAGATATTTAATAATCTATGCTTAAAGAATAAATTGGCTTTTTTTAGTAAGATTATTAAATATTTATTCTTTGTTTGGTCAAGGTCGTCGTGTGCAATAAGCGCACGGACGAAGTCGCGGGAATTCTATATGTAAATCTATAAATCTATAAATCACATAATGACGTTTTAAGAGGATTGTCATTTTAGTTCTCTCAAATGGCAACTTGTGAGTAGTATCGCGGGTGACACATGATAACGTGAAGTCCGTAGTGTTGTTCATGTACATACTCGTATATAGGCGCCGATGACTGCTTGCTATCAGGTGGGCCTTTAGCTTGTTTACAATTCCAATTAAAAAAAAAAGAGTTGGCACTGCCCTTACATCAATTAAAAAACAAAAATAACAACATGAAGGGCACCAAAAAAGAAAATTCACAACAAAATGGTTTATATTAATTAAAGTTTTCCTATAAATATATATAATCTATACCATAGTGTGTAAATTAAAAATAAATTGAGTACTCTGTAGTCATATAATATCAAGTGTAGTATTAATTGCTATGTGTTCGTTTTTTGAAAAAAGAATAGTAGCTGATAAACTATGTTTTTTTCAAAAAACGAACAATCGAGTAGCCCGCTTTTTTGCTACTTTGATTTTCAAATATTTGTAAAGAGTCACTAGTTATAGCTGTATCTGCTTGATGCTTTGCTATTTCCGATGGTCACGGGTTCGATTCCTCGTACAATGCAAACATTTGTATTTATGATTACGAGTATTTGTCTGGCTGTTTTCTATGTATATAATGCATGAATTTACAAATAAAAAATGTATTTAAGTATTTCTATCAGTTGTCTAGTATTCATTACACAATCTGCTTAGCTCCTAAGCTAAGTCCTAAATTGATTGAAAAATTAGACAAATTTATAGAATTAGTATAGAAAATCAAACATACCTGTTCACATTTGAGCCAGAATATGACGGTCGCACCAGGTCTTCGCAGCTGACCTTCGCTCAGTTTCTGCTCAGCAAGTATCTCGCTGTGGAGTCGACCTGACTTCAACCACACCTCGATTGACCTGTCAACAATAAGAACACTTTATTAACCCTATCTGATGGGGAAAGGGGATTGTTAGTAATGTGCACTGATGATTTTATTGCTAGCAATATACTATGTCAGATTGATATCGTGAAAATTCTTTCTGAATTTGTTACGATGGACTGTTAACGCAGGTGGGTGCACCATCATCCATAAAAAACCCCCCTCTGATTGATCTCCCGTTCAATTCAAACGGGGATTAAATTACAACGGCCTGAGCCGAGGTCGAACCCGTAAGAATGCTATTTCACTACCACATCTCAACCATCAACTGAAACTACAAAGCAAACTGATTGGCGCCTGAAATACACCTATTTAATTCAGTCAGTTATTTTGCGGTTATAATTTAATAAAAAAAAGTTTTAACTATTAAGAGTATTATGAGAATAGAACCGGTATACTAACAAATATAATACCTGCCTCTTACCTACCTAGCCGCTTTAGTGGTCAGATGCAGCCCACAAGACATTTACATAGACTTTCCACTGTTATAATGGACACTTAATAACTTATAAAAGCAAATAGATTGACTCTCGGTAATTGTTCTATGAGATTTCATACACAAGGTCCTTCAAACATTAGTACATTTTAAATATTTAACATACGAGGATAAAATATTCCCAATTAAGCAAACAATTCTATTCAATAAAAAAAAACATTATCCTGGAATCATACAAAAATAATTAGTACTCAGTGACGCGAGAGTGCTCTACAATTAAAAAAATATCTATAATCTATATCAAAACATTTTTAATGAAAAAATATTTCATAACTCTATATAGTATCAACTAGTACTTTTTTAAAAATCGAACAATGTATTTTGTGTCATATCAATGACTATTGGCCGAAGCCCAAAGAAGAGAAAAAAATTACTATTCTTTTTTTAAAAAAGTAGCAATCCCTTTTCGCGCTACATCAGTATTTTCTGTACTTTCCGATTAAAACTATAGTGACGTACCATAAATATTTTATATGCAATAAACATGTTTTTGACTTTGATTTTCAAACATTTGTAAAAAACTAGCTACATATAACTATCGCGTTGGCTGCCTGCATGGAATATGGTTCCACAAGAGACTTTCCACTGTTATAATGGACACTTAAAAACTCATAAAAGCGAACAGTGAGCCGCCCGGTACACAGTCCAGATCTATGAGATTTTACCCCGAGATTGTACGAACTTTGAATAGGGTCGATATGCGTTTAGAACTACATAGGACGTCCTCATTTATATACAGTGTTAGGGAAAATATAATGAGATAGTGTGAGGTTAAAGTCAAGTACCTTTTGTATGCACCGATGGTTTTCTTTGGATGCTATCATGGTTGATGACAACCATGATAACATCCAAAGAAAACCATCACTTTATCACATGATATCATACCTCTCATATGAGTGAGAGGTATGATATCATGTGATAACGTGATGTCTGTAGTGCAATTTATGTATATAGGGACGGTTATCGCTTACCAGTAAATGGGCCGTAAGCTTGTTTGTCATTTCCATCACATCAAAATAATAATACATTAATAATGGAAAATTGCAGCATGGTGCTAAGTCCGCCTAATGTACTTTTGTATTGTGTGTATTGAAGTTAAATAAATAATATTTAAGTTAATTACTTACTTATTTTTATCATTAATAAAAGCATTTATACATATATCATGTATATATGGTACATACTTTTGCTATTCAATTACAGTAAAATTTAGGGTATTTTGTTTGGTATTAGAAAAAATCTAGTCTAACAGAGAGAACTATTCAAAACAGCATTACAAATCATATTTTTTTTATATTATTACAAATAGTTTATGATTTCATTTTGACAGAGACTGTAGTGATAAAATCAGAATCTCAAATTTAGTCTATAATAAATATAAGATTGTCCCTAAATTTACATCATTACTCATAGTCACAGTATTAAGAAACAACATTGGAGTGGTTCTTTTTATGACTCTTCTTTAATATAACCATTTTTAGTGTTAGTTTGAAACGTGCGCCTGTACCGCTGATGAGTAGATGAAGGTTTGAAATGACTAAAGGTTTTTTTTTCATTGTTACAATGTATACATTTTTTTAATGAATGATAAAGGTATGGTGCACCCGCCTCGCTAAAGGTTTACGCTGGCGGGGCACCAGCGGAGAATGACAAGATGAGCGTAGTCAGGTCGGTTAGCCCATCGTGGCAAATTCACCAGGAATTTGTTACGATGGTTTCCAGGAAGGACCACGTGGTGGTCAACCTGATTTGGTGCATTGCTAACTATGGAGTAATTAGTTCACATTACTAACCTTCCCTTTTCCCTCGAGAACAAGTGTTGAGTTACCACGACATCATAGGTGCCATTGCCGGACTCGTGGAGATGTTAGTCCTCCAAAATGGCATGCATTGTCATTCTGGAGGACCGTTTACCATACAAGTGGAGCTTGTTTGCCATTCCAGTCACAAAAAAACCATGACGATAAAATCGTCGTGTCGTATATTGTAAAAGCTCGTAACGATTTCTATTTGTTCTACATACCAGAAGCACTGAAGCTCCGAGCTATTCATACGAATGAGCCGCAACAAAACGAAAGCACATCGCCTCGCTTTGTGTAACTGAGTCATCATTGTAAAGCTCCCTACATGCAATCCATACTAATATATATATAATATTGTTATTTTGCCACTAACGGTTAATACAGTAATCATACATGTATGTATGTGTAGGTCCGGGGAGTCGAAATTATAGAATTTCGGCGCGTTATTAATTTAATTTTCAGATATTACAAGAAAGCACTAATATACAGCAAGATATATTCGTCGTTCCTCGTTCTAGAGTTTGACTCACCCATTCATTTGTTTCCCTTCATTTATATATTCATTCCTTCGTCAATCATGTTTCAATTCATGCAAATATCGTTTAAATTCTCGGACTGAGCAGCAGAATGAGTGCAAAATCCTAATGTTTAATAATTATGTATAAAAATACATTAAATCTATAAAAGAAAACATAGACTAAGTGGTCACCCAGTGGTCGAATTTCGACCACGGCCACTAATATTAGTAAAAATGTCCTTCAGATCCTTTATTTCTATCTATAAAAACTTACGGTACAAGAACAATTTAAACATATATCCACTGGACGTCCATTAGCTAAACAAGTTACATATAAGTAGTTTTATAGTAGTATAAAAAATATAATGCATAACGGCAAGTGTAAATGCTTCTTAACGACACACGCGTGATTGATCGCATTAGCATCCAATCCTTAAGTTATTGACTTTCAGAATGGAACTTTATAAAGTTTTATAAAGCACCACCTAACTTCAAGACTGCACCCATTAGGTCATTTTCAATTTTTTCCACAAAGTTTTCAATTAATAAACGAGCAAACATCTTGTTGACACAATTCCCGGATGTGATTATTGAGGAGACAGCTGTCAAAACGCGGCACTTTTCAACCAACGTAAAAAAGAGAGAGGTCCTCAATTTGACCGCATTTTTTGGTACTAACCGCTATCTGTACTTCGTCTGCTTTTTAAGATAGCTTATTCTTGTGATACAATTTGCTAAATTTCCTTCAGATCTGTTCAGCCGTTTATTTGAGAAAGTAATAGACAGAAATATATATTTATATATTTATTTATATTATTACTGTAGGAGTAATGAGCTATTTTTGAAAACTGTACCAATTTTGATGACAATTTTTACATTAGTACAATTAAAAGCCCGTGTTTGTTTTAAATAAATTGCATTATCTTAGGCAGTTATTTTTGTTTGTTTATGGTACGAAATTATTTTAATTTTTAATATATGTATATAGGTCATATATAGGTCCTTGATTATTCGCAATATGTTTACCATTTAAATTCAAGTCTATATATGCAAACATATGTTATACAAGCAAGTAATTGTTAATAATCTACGTCTGAATCCTGTCTGAAAAACAGATCGATATTGTTTGAATTAACTTTTCTAGGAACGCTATTTAAATTCAATGTGTTTTTGTTTGGACAAAAATTTGTCTATGGCTAGTTATTAGAAAGACAAGTTTAACATACTTGTACAAAATTACTGATAATATAGTAACGGAAACTACTTGTAACTAACTACTCATATAGACTGAAATGGCTTCATTTCAGTGAATCTTTGAAACACTCGAAATATTAACTATGGGCAATATATATATAAAAAAAAACCCTAAGAGGAAACGAGACGAAATGCACTATCTGAATAAGTAAAGGCGCGACGGACGATATATCTGTGAATGAACAGCACCATAGAGGTTGCGGATATCATAAACTAATAGAGGAAACGATCAAACGAGTACGCAACACTACCATTACAAACCGTTCGACCCTAACGTAAATCAATAACTATCGACTAAGAGGTTGCAACAAAAACTGAGTGCTTAATAGATGAGTGTCCAGCGCACGGGCGTGATTAAAAAAAAAACAAGCAACAGGTGTTGGGGCGTCGACCTCAGTTACATCATGGCGGGGAAAAATGGCGGTATGAAATGTTATGTTAAGATTCGGTCGATGAGTTTGCTACAGACCGTTTTTTGAGTTCCCATTGAGTAGGTAACAGTCACAGAGCAATTAATATTATGTTTTATAAGCGTTGGCACTATCCTTATACGATACCCAAACTGATTCAATGTTTCATAGAAAGAGTTTTGTGTTTTTTTAGAAACATTTTATTATCAGTAATAATACAATAATAATAACGCGTATTTGAACGTATTACCCCCATAAAAAGGGAGATATATAAAATGTATATAAATAATAATAATAATAATCTTAGGACAACATATATAGCTATACCCATAACATATATGGGTACTAGATAACTGATACAAATATATAGATTATTTTTCGTAAATACATACATATTATACATAGAAATATATAGATCGATACAAACAATCTTACTCATGAACACAAATGTTTGTGCTGTGCGAGGTACCGAACCTGCGACCATCGGAAGTACGGCTG